TATTGAGAAATGTTCGTTTGTGATCACACTCATATTGAAATCAGTTGAATTCCCCAATTTTTATAGCGGTTCATTTGGCTATATTTTGATTGAGCTCTGTTTTCTGAGCTGGTTGGTTGATCTAACTGTGAAGCTGTCGTTGCTCTTCCAGACAAAATCGTCAGCTCAAGCTTTAATATGAACTCAACTTGTTTGAATTCGCCATGAATGATGACGATGATATAGTTGTATCTCCAGACAACCTCCTTCGTCATGAGTGGTTGTTAATTTACATCCTTATTAATCCTTTTTTATTGACTAGGAATTTGAACCTTCTTATCATGTGATTTTGTTTTTATTAGTTGGTAAATTTGGTCTATGGTGATGTGTTTGTCAATCGCTGATTCATCTGATGAGTACCAGGCTTCTAGAAATCGCTTTGAATTTTTCATATTTTCTATGTTTAAAATTTCTACACTTTCTCAGTCGAATTGATGTCGGTGATTGTTTACACGCATCTATATGAAAGAATACATATCGTGCCTTTGTACAACCATTTTGTGTTCTTGGGCTCTGATTAGAAGGAGACGCACACTTTGACTGATGTAATGTTTGTCGCATCTCATACAATTTGTTTTGAAAATAATATTGATCTTATCTTCTTTTCCTGCTGGATCCTTTGGTAAGCGTAATATCGAATGCAGTGACTTTCCTGGTTGGCTTGTGTTCTGTATCTATTTCAAACGGACTTATTATTCTAGCTGTTATTTCAGAGATATTCTGCATATATGGCAGGGCTAATTTTCTTGTTGTCTTTGATGGTGGATTCTTGTAGGTATTATGACTTGAGTTTAAACACTTTCTGATGAAATTGTCTGGGTATTCATTCTTCTTGAAGACAGTTAGTAGATAATTCTCTTCCATTCTCTTCAGCATTGGAGTGCTACAGTGTGTTTGAACTTTTTACAACAATGTCTGCACACAGTTTCTTTTGTGAGTCATTGGGTTATGGGTGTTATATAGTTGAGTGTTTCATCTGTGTGTATTGGTTTTTCTGCATACTTGTGTTTCTAAATTTCCCATGTTAGTCCTGCTCATTAAGACATGTTAGAATGGGATTTTGTAGTTTAATGCTTCTTCTCTTTCACCTGAAAAAATCAACCACCTGAGTTACAAATCTTCTCCGTCATTTCATTTCATTTCATTACTATGAACAAGTGATTTTATTAACCGGCTAAATTAATATACCACACATCTGTGTCAGATGGGTCAACTAAGTTGCGTGAAATATGTGATACTGTCTTCTCCATAAACTACCTCTTTCAAAAGATAAGAGTTTATTCAATTCATTTTCTCTAATATAATCAAATCAGAAATATTACTAACATGTTCAGATTGTTTTCTTTTTGTCCCTGAAAATCATTCACTACCGAAAAGTATTGATCACTTCTGTACTTTTTATTTGAACTTCAGTTGTCACTGCACTGTACAGTCATTAATCTACTAATCTAAAGTTTTATCAGACAGTGTCTGTTAGATTTGACAAAACAAACATTAACCGTTTTCTTATGGTGTTGACTACATCCCGAAATGATGTAGCTTAAATAGGATTGTTTTTTTTAAATGCACTCTCGTCACTTATTATCATATATTTGTAAGAATTCATAGTGGAATCGATTATTGTCACTTACTTATTATTATTATACATAGTCTCAGGTGAGATAGGAACAGTGTACCAACAAACATACTATACCAAAGCAGGTGTGATTAACATTCAAGTTTTCATACACATAAAAGTCAAACTTGGCTCATGTTTAACATTTGTTATTAGGAGATATTTACTCAACACTGGTCATACTGTAGTGTTCAATGGATATATATTTATTAAAGGCCTGGGGCCGAATGACTCATTCGTGACGTCGCTGACTGTAGCGCCGAGTGAGCTGAAGGGAAGTTATGTTGAAGATACGCCTTACTCATGAGAGGCAAAAAACATAAAACCCAGTTCTTAGGCTTCCTGCTAATTGTCTCCGTAGTGGAATAATTCTTTGTAAAATCCCTAATATGGATGTTTCAACTAAACTTGTAATTATTATCTGTTCTTCTCCTACAGTGTAAACCACTGTTCCGACATTTGCATACCATATATAGACTTGATTCTTATTATTTGTCTTTGTCATTGTTTAATCTCTGATTTTAATGCTTCTCTTTGTTGTTGTGTGATACATTAATAATGTGTTGTTCTACGATGTGATTTTGTTTGAGTGAATCAAGGTGTTTCTGACCTCGGACTGTCTGTGGGAAACGTTTGTTTATGATCCTTGTGGACAGAGTTTTGGATCCCATCTTGTTGGGAATATTCTGTTTGATTCTAAGATAATTCTTATGGTTGAATTTTGGCTAACAAATTTTGTTCTACAGTACTCGTTTTGTACTTAGAGAGTTACCTTGTCTGTATACCTGCCTAACAGCACCGCTGAGGTAATTTTGAGTTTTCTGATGTTATTGTAGTTGAACAGAATCATAGATATCAACGAATAATCGTTGCTTTTTGCTGTCTTTGGAGCATTTTATGACTGTGCATGTCTCAACGAAGTTTCAGACAACTATTCAACAGAAGCCAAAGATTACCGCCTTGATTTCAGAGCACATTCAGTCGGTTTTGCTTGTTACAGTCTCGAAACTACCTAATATCAGTCTACAGTGCATTGTAATTGTCATTCATCTAACCTCTTGCCCATGCTGCAAATTCAACTGATATAATTCAGTCAACACTAAGACTAAGGACTAGAAACATGAGATTGGTTGCTTTCAGGTGAACTAATTAGTGTATATTTCATGTTCATTTATTAGTGACATTTCTTCAAAAATAATCTAAGGTAATACAAAGAAAACTTTCAAAAGTTCTGTCTTTAATGTTTATAACTTTGTTTTACCTACTTTTATTTGACTAACATTTATATTCACATAATATTTACTAATGATTGGTATAATTAATTGTAAGTCACTTACACTAATCGATAATGCTAACTTGTTAAACCAAGATTACCTTATGCAATAATCCACTGATGATTTCAATTCATTTCGGTAAATTATCATTTATTGTCTCAGGCAGATGAGATGTCAAAATAGCTAAAGAGTCTGTTTCCTTGATTCAAGTCACTCATTCCCAAGTGATTAGCACTTCCTTTTTGTTAGTGAGCACTACAATTAGGTGTATATATACTGCACAAATTACTCACACAAGTCAGTAGAATATACATATCATTGGTATTTTCCTGTTCATAAACTGAAGAGAAACCTGACTATTCTAAATTTAATGTCCTTATTCCCTAAAGTATTTCTTTACAATAACAGCTTCTCCTATCGTCTCATCTCTTTTCACCTTCCCTTTGTTCATCTTTACGGCTGTTATATCTTCAGTTAGATAGAAATACATTCACTGATGGGTTCAGCTGTACTTTGTTGTTTATTTTAATTGAATGCGTCTAAATTTCATACTGTAATAATGTTTAGGAGACAAGAAGAAGTTCGAGCAAAGAATATTTCTTTCGATAAATTCCTCTTCCGGCTCTACAATTATATATATATATAACATTCTTCTGTGTCTCCGTCGTTTGGACTGCTCCTGTGGAGCCAGGTACATAGGCCGAACAATTAGGCGTGTTCATCGCTGGATTCCCGAATACCACCCTGCCTGGTTAAATAAGGGACAAACAAACTCAATTCATAGTTCTAGACTATCTCATCTGGTAGATATATATATATATATATGTCACAAAGTTGATGTTAACAAGGTCTTCAAAGTCATCTACCCTATGCCAACTAATCTTAATTTTACCTCAAGAGTTCATCTATTACATATTGCTGAGGTTGTTGGAATATACATTAAGACGCATAATCTAAGTATCCAAAAGTAGCTGGTTCAGAAACTGTCCTTATCTTGGTCAACAAAATTTGAACTATCCTTAATTTTTGTTGAATTAATTTTATTTGATATTCTATTTAGTGTTACATTTTTATGCTTATAATAACTTATGCATCTTTCTTGAATTTGAACTCGATTGATCTTGACAAATCAATATTATTATTTCAAGAAACACCAATACTGTTAATGACGATTATTCTTAATTTAATTTTAATTTTGATTTAATTTTTATTTACAGCTTGATATCACACCGTATTTTAAGTACAAGTATGGAATTCTCAGCATGGATATCGGTAGCCCAAATTTTGCAGGCCGACCATAGATATCGGGTGTGCGTCGGCAGGGGTTCGAACCCCGGACCATGTGCATGGTCGGCGAGAGTCCTAACCACTGTATATAAATTGTAGAGCCAGAAGAGGAAATTATCGAAAAGGATATTCTTCACTTGAACTTTCTATTGTTCTCTAAATGTTTCAATGGGAATTCTCGATATATTGTAATAATCTTATTTGTTTTTAAATTTTGGAGGATGTGTTACATTTTAAGGTGGAATTCTTTTTTTTTTTTAAAAAGTAGAATTGACATTATACCAGAGAAAATCGATGGGCAGTAGTTCGTGTTAGTCAGTCAGTGTCCTGTGAGTGTAGAAAACGGTGAAAGAAGTTGAAATAAATGAAGCCTTCCTCTGTAATATACAAACTCAATGAATTAATAACATAATATGATCCGTTCAAGGCATAAACGTTTTTGATTCAGTAATGAGTGAAATCCATCATGAGAGCTTATGAAGAGATCCGAGCTACATTGCAACATGTGTCCACTGCGCCATTATTTTTTTTTCTGTTGTTCTATCCATTGTTTCATTTTATCACAATATCCATCTGGAAATAATAATAATAATAATAATAATAATAATAATAGTCACTATTCCCAGTACCAAAATGTATTAACTGCCTAATATTTAACGTTACTCCCCAATCGTGAAAACACATTATTATTATTATTATTATAAAACGTGTGCATTCGATGAATAAAGTAACATAGTAACATTTCTGATGTAATTTCTTTCTTGTTCTGCTTTCATTTTTTGTAGGATTCGATGAACATGTTGACACTACAAAAGCATTAATATCAGATGCATTAAAACAAGAAGATGGATTACACAAACGTTTAACTGATTTAGCCTCAAATATCAATGATTTACATGATCAAGCTAAGAAAGAATATCTGGCTGCACAGTTTTTAAGTAATCAAACACTAGAAATTGAAAATACGCTCAGTGGAATTGAAAAAAGAGTAAGTTTTACCGAATCTGCATAATTTCTGAGCCGACTTGGAATGACTGTTCAGTTAGGCATTTAAGGTTGGATTTACTCGGGTTTTTTATGAAATATATTGTCGCCCAGATGGTCTAGTGGATAACGCTTTGGAGTTTGAAACGATTGGGTATTGGGCTCGAGCCTCAGTGGGAAAACTATCGGTTAATGGGGAATGCAGGTACATACAGGGACGAGTCCTTGATGGGACGAAATAGGCATCTTGGATTCCACTGCTAGTCACTACTCAGCAAATATATCTTCGTCAGTTTTGATTGCATTTGTGTCAGTAGTATATACATCCAAAAAATAAATCATAATAAGTGTATCCAAATTCTAGTTCAGTCCGATTCTTATGTTTACGGGTTGCTCAGTGACATTTCTTATACCATCGATCGTTAAACTGATTGACTTTGAAATACGATAAGGTGGTGGACATAGATACATATATGGATAGATAAATAAGTAGACAATGAAGACAGACAAACAGGACAAACGCAAACTCAATATGTTCAACTTACTTTTAATTACCACATCGACTGATAATATTAGACCAAAGTACTCGGTCTCTGTTGATATGCTGGGTCCTACTGCAGGACGCTTCAAAGTTGTTTTGAGGTAGAAGTGGTGTTCCTCGGTTAGTTGTTTGATGGTGGTCTGTGATGAAACCTAGGAGGCATATTTAGTGTCTTTTTTGAGCACATCCAGCTGACGAATCGCAAATAGGACGGAACGAGCATTGTTGATTCCACTAGTAGGTACTATCAACTGAGTGAGACGCAGAACCTGGAAAGAATTGTACAGAATCCAGTTGTTTAAGTTCACACTTCCATATACAAATACAAAAAGGAATACACTAATAGAAATGACTTAACAGTACACAAAGATAAACACGAAAATAAAATCAGTAATCAAACAACAATAATGAATGAAGATGTTCAGAATTCTTCGAATAAAAAACGAGGCCAACAGTATGAAAAATAAGACACATAGGTTAGTCAGTATGGATTTACAGTCTTAAAATAACTCACCCTGTGATTTAACCAGTCACTAACATGTACTGAGAATGCATTTCAAATGTAGATTTCATTGCTAGCTGACATCAGTTAGAGAACCATCGAAAATCTCTGGGCAGTGGATAGATGCTTAGTCTTCATTTGAGACGTTTCAGTAGCGTGCACTCTGGATGTTCAGGTTAATAAGCGAGAATATCACCAACCAACCAACCAGCTTGATGAAAACCAATGACGCATGAATCCTAACGCCTAGGAATCTATTAAAACTGAATGAAATACAACTATCAATACTGGTATATGACAATGAATGCCAACATCATTCTTACCAATTGATATTCTAAAGACTTATCTATTAACTTGAAAACAATTTCCCTTCTCCTACTTATGAGAAAACAAAAATAAAACAGTTTGGGCTTTTTTCTAAGTAAAAGTCAAGATGGAGATGAAGTGAACGATAAATCAAAGTTAGTTATCGAGACCTGAAACTGGTGTGTTGTGTGTATATATACCGATAAAGTGCACTAAAATACAGACAGATGTTTCAATCTGTATTTGTTACAACACACAAACACACCTCGAAATGATAAATGCACACCTCTGCGTGTATATCTGCGTACTTTATATTGAGTGAAAAACAACCAGTTCCTATCAATATTCATCAGATTAAAATGGTTTATTCAAAGAATTTTTATCAATTGTTGGAGGTGGGATGAAATATTTGGGTTATCTTAAACAGCGCGGTCTCTGGTTCGAATCTTGACATGGAGCAAACTATCACTTCACTTTAAATTGTCACTCATTAAGTCTGTATTATTAGTCTGTTAATCCAAGGCTATCACAGTGATATGAACGTCAGTACAAAAGAGTGTAGTTTACGAGTCTCTTGCACTAACAAAATTCCTAACCAACAGATTTACGAGCCTACTGTTCTAATCACTGTTGTCAAGGGCTGCCAACACAACACAGTACCACCGATAGGCAATGCAAAGAAGAAAGGAAGGCGACAGACTGTTGAGTAGAGAGCATTTTACTGTCTCAAGTAACAGTTCAGGTGACAGTCATAATAATACCACATAATGTGTATACAGAGAAATTTTTAAAAAGTAGAAATCAGTCAACGGAATAAATATCACTTAGCCGACAGTATTTTAAAAAATGTATAATCAACTGATACGCTTAATATAGCCCTTCATATTAGCACGGAATTAATGGGATATAACGAAAATACCAGGGATATATATAACTCCATTATGGATAAGATTTTATTTTGATAAATCACACAGTGTTACACAGCAATAATAAATGATGATGTTTCGAGCACAAATTATTGCTCATAATCATATCAAGTTACTCACACAACTTTTTCTTTCATTTATATATATCTTTTAAAATTCATTAGGAAGATTGAAAAAGGCCAAAAGAAAAAGAAAAATAATTGTGAAACTAGAAATAATAATATAAATAAGAGAGAATATAAGTCATCTACAGTTATACCATATAAAGAGTGGACATCTGAGACCCTACGTAGGATTCTAAATAAAGCAGGAATTAGCCTGGTGGCATTTAAACCTACAAACTCACTCAGCGACAAGCTCTGTAGGTTAAAGGACCCTTTCGGTTGACCCATTTAGACAAAATGATATAATTTACAAAATACCCTGCAATGACTGTGAGTTAGGTCAACTACATAGGTCAAACTAGTAGGGCAGGGGTAGTCAGATTGTCAGAACATAAAAATTTAGCTAAGGTAAGAATGGTTGACCCAGAGAAGATAAGTAATTTAGAAGAAAGCTCAACAATTGCAATACATGCATCAGCACACAACCGCACAATAGGGTGGGAGAGGGTTAAAATTCTAAAAAGTAATCTAGGTAGGCGGAGAGATTGATTACTGAATCTTTGTTCATCGAATCTACACCCAACACATGCAATAGGAATGAATCATCACTCATACCCGAAATATAGAAAATAATACTACCAATCAAATCAAGTGAAAACAATGGAACTATATATATGAATTTAGGAAGTCGTGTGATTACCTTGATATGATTATGAGCAATAAATTGTGTTCGAAACGTCATCAGTAAATATTACTGTATAACACTGTGAGACTTTATCACAACAAAATTTACCCATAATTGAATTACACTCTACCACAGTGCACAATTTTTATTCTTATATCAACGAGTTGATCAGTTAGTTAGAGAACTGATATCAATCCGTGATCAACTCGTAAAAACAAATCTAATCCTTACAAACCAACTATTGAAAATAACTCAGTACATTAAGTTACTGGAATGGAATCTAGTGGTACATTGTCTTGAATGTCAGCTAATTCCCGAAATTGTGTGATCAAAAAAGTTAGCATTATTGGTGACCAAGCAGCTTCTAATTACAGGTCGTGGTCAGAGGGGTCCACCCAGTACGGTATGAATCGTATGCGCATCAATGGCATTAATTGTCAGTAGTGCTGTATCTATCGTTCGTTGACAGAAGTTAGAATTTACAGGGGTTATCAGATTTCAGATCAGTGGCTGATTTGCTACCCAGCTTGCCTCGTAACCTGAAAGCTGTCGGTTAACACTAGTAAAGAGTCAGAAAATAGAGTGAAACAGCGGTCAGTGTACTGTTTGATGCTGGTTCGTGACGAAATTAAGCATAATACTAACACAAATCTAAAAATAAAGAGTTTCATAAGCCATGTAATTCTTATTTTAAGTTTCGCCAGCATTAATTAATCTCTTATAGAATTAAGTTAATGAGAATAAAGAAAACTAGCTCATGTTCATGTGTGTATGTTTGTGTGTGTGTCGTGTGACTTCAAAGAAAATTACTAGAATGAACATTGGTCTCAATGACTCACAGTTTAGTTTATTCTTTCTATTAAAAACAATTAAGCTAATTGAACACGTAAATTAGTAGTTGTCTGAGCCAAATTTATTGTATTCATGTGCAACATATCTGTCTCCTTTTTATGTCACATACACACAAACACACGCACATATATATTTACACTAAAATTGAAAAACAAAACAAAATCTTTACGAGTAAACGTATTTTTTTCTTTAGAATCAGTCATTTGAGCCAGACAGTTTAGTATCAGACATTTTCTTAACATGTTACTACCTTCACAATACTGTGATTTATACTGCTGACGTAGTATTCGTCTGCGATTGAGTTCAGTTTGAGACATGTGCTTACGTATAAATAGGAAACTAGGTCATTTATTTTGATAGTGTACACTTCTAGTTGATTGGTTATGGAATTTACAATGCCAAGGTTATTTGTTTTATTAACCAATCATATCCGGAAGGTACTATTATATGCGAGATAGTTGTTTTTTCATACAAATTTTCAAAATATAGTGACAACGAAATCAACACAGCTGTGTTTAATGAATAATTTAGAATAACATATCTTTACTATGAAGATAGTCATGTAGTATATATAGTGTATATCATATAAGTAGGAGATTAGAAATTACAGTCACAAAATGAAGTCATTCCTGTGTGTTTATATTCATTTTTGTTTCGTTTATATATTTCATAAGGCACACAAACAGCTCACCATAGTTTGCATAGTACACTGGACTGTTGCGAAATTCACTCGTCTTTGACTAACTCTTGCCATCATGCGTAAGTGACTTCAGAAGATAGTGTGGTTAAGACTACCTGAGAGCCTTAATTCGTACGATTCTTGTCAGCGTGATAATATCAACACAACAACTGAAGGTTAGAGGAAAATCTGTTCTCCTACACCACAACTCAAACTAGCAGCATATCTTCAGAGACAGCTTATTTCTTCACCATGATAAACTAATTTGAAGCATAGAATGAAAAGAGCTGCGATAATATGAATCTTTTTTTATATGAAGAAATCAGTAAGCTGTGAAGTTACTAGACCCGACATTATTGTTTATATAAAGTCATAGAGAAGGTTTCACTGATGAAAGCCAGCAAGTGTGAAGCGTGAGTTTAGTAATATTCACGATTTGATCATAACTAGCAAGATAAAAATCAGTGGAACGGAAGTAGAATGTGTTGCTTTCAAGCGTTCAGTAGTGAGTGCAGTTCCTGTCAAATTGCCTTCCAACTGGGCCTTGTAGCCAACAACAGATAAATAGCATCAAAATGACACCAAAAAACTTTCATTGATTTCAACAGTACCTGTACACCAAGGACAGGACAAGCATAAACAGACTACAGTATTAGGAAAGCATACTTCTGGGCTTTAAAAAAAAAAACTAACTTCTTCCTTTCGTACTTTTTTTATTTTTATTTTTAGATTGCAGACGACAAAAGTCAACTGGATAAATTCTATGAAAGATTAAGTGATTTGAAAACACGTCATGAATTGGAAATTGTACCGGAAATACAAAGAACAGCACAGACTGTTACAGGAATCAATGAAGAAGCTATGCGTGTAATTGAATCAGCTGATGAATCTCATCGTGGTGCAACAAAACTAGTTGAAGATGTCAATGAATTATTACGACGTATGAAAAAGCTTAAAGAACAAATAAGTACGTTACTTGTATTAATTAATTAATTGCTGCTAACGGGAATGTTTAATAGCGTATTAAAACTCCTTCAGATATTTCAAATTGGTAGTTTGAGAAGTTTTGACATGAACATAATCGAATAAGAAGTTCGGTGCAGCCTACTTTGAAAGTTTGCGTCACCAAAGACATTTTATACCACGATTATTCAAATAACTGACATAAACGTATATTATTATTTTTAATTGCTTGTTTTTTCCAGCGGAACGTAAGCCTTTAGAACAACGTCGCCAACATTTTCACCCGGCTTCATAACTACCTACAGGCCTTGACTCTCTCGACACATGATTTCCTCCATGTCACAGTGATATCCATACCCGACCCATTCGTGTTGCACTCAACGGCCTAGGATGTGATGGAGGTTGGATTTCTCCACCACCATTTCTTTCTGCATATTTGTTGGGCTGATTCTCTGCCATGGCTCCGCATTTCTTAATCTACCCTCGCCCAGCTAACTAGCCTGTCACAAGCTCAAAAAAGAAGGCAAGTTGAGCGTGAGGCGGGATTTGAACGTATAACCTACTACCACCTGAGAGTCAAGTCAATTATAACAAAAATTACGTTATTGTTTCTCTAACTACACATTCATAGTGAGGCTGTCTGATATAGCCTTGAGTTAGCCGACTGACACTGATATAATCGATGATGACTGAAGGTGGGATATAGGTCTGGATCGACATATTGCAGTGAAATGATGATCTGCTTAGCCATTGTGTCTCGTAGCTCATTTGACAGACCGCCAAACTACTGGTTTGAATCAGGAAAAGACTCAGATTTTCCTCCAACCTTAAATTGCCACGCATTATCACATATATTCTAATTAATTTAATAATTAGGGTGTAAAACAACGTTATCACAGTGACTTGTAATGGGTTATTCGAAGAAGGACCCATGGTGGTGTTAGCCTCTCATTTGTGTTCAGCTGTTTCAATTCATTCTTCATCAGTGGAATACTTAAATTTCCATTGAAACTTAAAATCTCTAACGTCATAACATAATAACTGTTTATTGTCCTCATAAAGCGATAACAGTGAACATTTTGGCATTAAATTGAATTCTCATTTCATTTTGTGTGGTCTAAATCTTCTGCATATGGAATAATTTTTCAAATTTTATGTACAGTTTTATACTTTATGATGTCGTTGTCAAGATTTGCAAGTAATTTGATATATATTTAATGGAACACAAAATAAATCTTTTCAACAACATGGGAACAAAAATGATATATGTAGAACAAGTAAAATGATACAGAAGACGACCTAATTAATAAATGCAGATAAAAGTACAAACTGTTGTTAAAATGATAACTGTATTGCATATTGTACCTTAAATAAAGGATACAACACATCTATGAAATGATTAAAGTTCAGGGTTGTAGAGATTTTCCCATAGTAGAGCATAGTTTGTTAAACAAGGAGGGGGAAGTCAGGACATGTGCTACATATCGCTAATGTTAATTCATATATGATAGGGTTGGAAAAGGGTTCTGAAGACGTGGGAGGGGAGTGGGGGAGTAAAACAAAATATGGTACCAATCCATGAAGCTTTTGAATGTTGAGTTGCGTGAGTAGCTACGATCCTCAGGATCACTAGGAACTAGTGATTACAGACTGTTGGTGGCAAGGCTAAAAGTGGTTCGCAATGACGAAAATGAATTTTTCATACTTTCTCCCATATATTTTCGTTTATAACTGCTTCGTGGCATTTATTTGTTGATTTACTGTTTTTTCTACCTTTTTATAAAGTCTGGCAACTTGAACTGCTTCTGCACTTTGTGCAAAATTCTGCCTTCTAAATTCCGTCAGTTATATATGCCCCTTTTGATGGGAAAAATGAATATCATTCCTGCATCTGAGAATACACGAGTTGGGAAATGTCAAAACGAGTCTTTTGAATCCCTGCTGAGACGATCGGTCAATTAGGGTTGGTACAAATTCTTAAATAAATGAAATGCGGTCAACACGTTCTACCCTTTCACTCCTTATCCTTAAATCTGAAGTTGAACTTCAATGGCTATTATAAGAAATACACGCTGTAATTATCAAAAGATATCCCATGGATGTGTAAACCTTGTATTAGAAGAAAACAGTTACTACTGATGCCTTCGCTAGATTTCGAATGTCGTCTGGCTCATCAGAATGGATAAACAACAAGAAGAATGCAGAAGGAGATGATGGACGAGACATTCACGTGCCATCACATCTCAGGCCACCGAATGGAAAACGAATAGTATGGGAAGGTTTAGGAATGGATCCGACGGTGACATGGGGGCTGTCATATGTAGTGGAAGTGAAAGCTTGTAGGTAGTAGTGGAAATAAGTTATAAAAGTGATCGCGATGTGGTTCTGAAGCTTAGTGTTCCACTGAAAGTGCAAGCAATGAACACTTATATATATTTCTTTACTAAGACTTAAAATATAACCCTTTCGTGAAAACATTTTGAATTACCAGATTATTAAAGGCACCCTTTGATTTGAACCGCGTAACTCCAACCTCTTAAACATGAATAGAGCAAGAACACCAGTTTTTGCAGAATAACATGACACACCATCATATATTCCATTGCTACCTCACCACCTCACCTGCCTACAGCATAAAGAAATTACCAACTATATGTACTGAACAATTATTAACACACTCTCAAACGCTACATGATGTTACTTGACAGAAGGCTCCAAACGTAATCAACAATGCTCAGGAAATTACACTTATATAGTTCTTACCTAGAGAGTTCAAGTGTACACAAACTTAAGTGTTTACTTACAATGAAAAAGGGGTTGAGTAATAAATGCAAGAGGTGAGTAGGATGATGAGTAACCAATAAATTGAATAGCAATGTACTGTGTTCAGTTCAAATCATAGAGACAAGAGACAAGCGAACGTACTTTATGTCACAGAGAGAGATAGGATGAATCCAAAGATTACGTAGTCAAATGGAGGAGGGAATGAAGGTATTCAGTTAGCATGGCAAGGAAATACTGTTAACTGCTTCTTTCTGAACACATAGAATACGTTTCAAACGTCTAATAGCTATGTTTTCGGCAAAATTAGGTAGAATTGAACTATTTTTTATATAGATAACTTTGAGTGATTATTGGTTATTCCTACAATATTATCACCTTTGAAATCGAGTTGAATGAATGAAGACATGCTTATTTCCCACTGTGATTTGTTTGACAATTGATCCTTCACATCTTTCTCACTTGTTAATCAATGAATCTCTGAGGGTAACCGTTGTCTTGCAACAGCTTTTCAAGAGTCAGAAACTCTTCTTCTAATCTGTACGTAAAGCATATTCGCCTGACTCTGTAGAATAGAGTTTTGACCAGTACTTATTTATAGCTATTTGGATAAATATTATTCTTAGCTACTAGGTTTCACGTGAGAAGAACAGTGAACACGGCATTTTAGGTTGACAATGTAAGACATGTTGCTAAGTTATTCAAAAACATTGAATTATGAATGAAGCAAGATCTGGACATATTTATTTTCTATAGTTGGTTTGTAAGGATTCGATTTGTTTTTACGAGTTGATCACGGATTGATGTCAATTAGAGAACTATTGAAAACCAGCATTGGAGTACTGGACAGCTGCTGTTTCATCCTAGTTTGGGAATCATCGGCAGTACACACCCACTGTCAGGGTTCAAACCAAGGACCTTCCGGTTACAAGGCAATCTGGCTCGTATACCATTCAGCCAATGGGAACCGATTCAATGACCAACCCATGAATTCTAACTTCTACCAATTCGTGATCAGTTTAGCGCGACCACCAACCAATGTCAACGGTGGGACATCCGTCCTCACACGTGACTGGTTGGACCTCACTGGTCACGACTTCTCACTAGAACTCCAGCAATCTCTGTCCTGTAGCAATTTACTAGACAGCATCAGATCAATTTTCAAAAGTTGGTTCTTAGTCGGCTGTTGGTCTCGCTAAATCACGAATTGTTAGAAGTTAGAATTCATGGGTTGGCCACTGAATTGGGTCCCAGTGGCTGAATGCTATACCAGTTTGCCTTGTAACCAGAAGGTCCTGTGTTCGAACCCCAGTGGGTGCGTACTACCGGTGATTCCCAAACTAGGACGAAACAGCAGCTGTCCAGTACTCCAATGCTGGTTTTCAATGGTTGTCTAACTGATATCCATCCATGATCAACTCATATTTATTTTCATGTTTTTGAACAGTCTAAAAACATGCAATGTCAGTCTTGTTTTGAAACCCTTAATTCAGCCTTCACGTTAATCAACAGCTCATTGTGGTTCACTAAACACTACGCAATGAATATTTCAAATGTGTCAAGAAGTCATTTTGGCCCAAAAATGAGTGCTACATCCTACAGCTAACCAATCAAGACTTTTGAATAGTAGTAAGGCATGGAAAAATATTTAAAAATGGACAAGAAAAAGGATACTATAGACAACAATGTAGCATTATTTTTATTTTATGTTTCTTTAGGTTAACAACGCATAAAACATGTTTATAAGCAGTTCATTAAAATAAATCTTTGTCCAAATTCTAATCCATTCATATTTCAATGTATATTGAATGGCTGGTTAAGAAGCCTTATACTATTAGCTAAATTGATACATTAAGATAAAGTATCTTGATTCGATACTTTATTCCTGTTTTTTGTATGTGTCTCCTTTTATCAGTTAAATTTTATATTTAACAATGTATATTAATCTGTTCTTTTCGGGCGAAAAAGATATTGATGAGTGGATTTAGCATATTTGTAGATTCGTTGTTTTTTCTGTGTCAAATAAACCTCTTTTGAAAGTGTTGAGTTGTAGGGATATGACTGACCTGAAGGTAGATTTCATCTTTAACGGGCATCATCCGGAGAACCCTTGGAAAATTAGTGAATAAGAGAGATCCATTTAATCCCCGTTTGGGACATCTGTTAAGCCACCAAGGATAGAACCCATTTGGTGAGACCGCCATTGGGTTGAAATCGAATGACTCATGAATTTTTTCAGGCCCCATCACCACCCACTGTCATTATAACCTGAGTGTTCGGATTCTAGACTGTAAAAGAGTTCCAGACTAGGATGAAACACATATCCAGTGGTCATTTCACAGCATTTTGGGAATACTTAAAAAAACGAGGAGGAACTAGACGCTTATACTCTTCCTGGTTTGCGCCTCTTCAGAATTACTCCCATACTATAGAAAAGATGGTAAGGCTGTGTTTTCAAGCGAGGTTTGTCGATTCGGTTATGAGAGGCAGAAGATTAGTGATGACACTGAGTGACTGTAGTACTATATGAACAGTTAGCAGAAATTTCAAATAATAAGTCAAAATAGTGACTTAACGAGTTGGACTCATTATCTGATGTAGTTGTCCTTAAGTTAGAGAATCATTGGAAAATCAACTAGTACTGGACAATTGTTTCATCATAGTTTGGGATTCTTCAGAAATACTCACGCAGTGAAGTCCGAACCCAGGACCTTCCGGCTTCAAGACGAGCTCGTAGACCATTCAGCCACTGGAACTGGATCCAGTGGCTAGCGCATGAATTTCAACTCCTACCAATTCGCAATATATATGAGTCATTATCATAGGCGACTTTGTAGACCCCACCGACTAGATATCCAGGTATCTTCCTCTATAGTGCTAGTCACTAGTGAGCATCAGGTTAATCATCAAATGTCCAGTACTCCCGGGTTTTCCAATAGTTCTCTAAATGAGTCAACTCGTGATCAGACCTGTAACTAACCATATCTCTTGCAAACACTCCTATTTTGCTAAATTCTTTATATATATTTTCATATTACAGATATACACATATATGTCTATCTTAATGCCTTTTTCCCACTTTAGCTGAAACAACAGCTCCTGGTACAGGAATAATCAGTAGACCAACAATAACAAGTGAAGATGCAGCGACAAGATTTAATAATTTAAAAAATGATTTCGTAAAACTTCAATTGAATGAACGTTTAACTTTGTTGAAACAGTTAAATGAATCACGTACAACAGAAATGTTTTATTTACGTAAACAAATCAATGAATATCGCCTGCATTATGAACATCTACTGCGTGTTGATTCTCTACTGCCAACTATTGAAGCTGGCTGCTTCTATACCGGTAAAGGTATTGAAGGTGATGAATATGAGCGTAGACCAACTTAATTATGAAGCTCTTTCTGTTTCTTTCTTTCCTTTTCCCTTATTTCCCATTCACCTTACTCTTGCCTATCTTACTGAAAAGTTTATTTATTATTAAAGATTTAAACGGCACTTCTTATTTATCCTTGACATTGAAAATTGAATCATTTGTAATTGTTTAAATTAAAAGTATTTTTATTGGCACTATTCGAAATTAGCTTGACTGTTTACTTCTGAGTATGTAACTAATATTATCAATCTGATTGTACAACTTTTCTGCTTTCTTTCTTTCTTTTTCTTCTTATTCTTCTTCTCCTCCTCATTTATCATCACTAAATTTAGATGAATAGCCTTCATTTTTCGATTGTCTTCTATCTGTATACACCTGAATTATCAATAATATTATGATTTACTGTTGATGTATGCATTTGTAGACGTCTATATATTTGAGTGTCTATATACATATGTATATATGTGGGCGTGTAGATGTGTGGGCGAGTGACTGCACAACCCAATAATATGAAATATGAAGATCATTAAAAGTTATGATTCCGCCTAACTACTACTACTACTCCTACTTATCCATCATTCGATGAAAATTTTAATGACAGGTTTTATTACTACTATTATCATTTATAAAGTAGTACTGTGTGGTAAAATTTATAACAACTATCGTTATTATTATTATGCCTAGCTAATTTCTCTGTCTAACTGATACTAACAGTCGGATAGGATCTTATATGATTCCCATTTTTTGTACTTGTGTCAATTATTTTTTAGCAATCTTTTATTATTACTAATTACCATTGTAAAATGTGTGTTTCGCGCAAATTTTAGGTCTTAATTAAATATACTACTTATTACATCGACGAATAAAATTTCTGTTTGTATTTGTACCAGTGAGTTAAAAACAAAATAGGCAACACTGATGATGATGATGACAATGTGGATGACACCTGATTTCAAATTATTATTATTATTGTTATTATTGCTGACATTAATGACCTAGTAAAATTATGCAACTTTCGGCTGACAGTAGTTGAGTTGATTTTCTGCCCTTTTTGGAAGCAATTTCCTTTCTATCATCACCACAGCCTACCTTTCTACCCTCCCCATTTGATTATGTTAATATATTTATATGTACCGGTACTTTTCCAATAATACTGCTAGTATTACTATATGATTGTTGTGACACTAATAAATACCAATTATTACTACTATTCTGAGATTTTATTTTCATTTCTTTAACAGTGGGCAAGACGGAAATAGAAAGTTGAACAGACAGGTTTCCTAATAATCTGTCTATTTTAAGCAATATGACCTTCAGCGTAGAAATGATTCGTAAAGTAGTTAGTAGTGAGCAGATTATTTTGAAAAACTGCATACCTTGAAATGCATATTTATTTATTTTAAATTATGCGTCATCTAAATATTCCATTCAGCTAATAAGATTGATGGTATCTGATAATATTTAAAGTAACTGATGTCTACGGGCGATTATATGGAATATCTCTTTTTTGAAATGGCGCCACCTGCTTTATGCATTGGGTATTGTAGCGTTTCAATAAATAGGCCAAATTGTACCAGCATAATTTCATGAATATCCAAAAATATACTTTTAACTTTTGAACATACCGCCTCCTTTTATCCATCAAATTGCACAGATATCAGTGCAGCAAATGTAACACAGTTCAAGAGAATAATGACACCGATAATATTGTACGTCATTTTTAAAAAAACATCTGTCATTAAATCACCATAGCAACAGACCACGACGCCACAGTTAGCGGGCATATGCAATAAAACCACTCAGTGTCAACAACATTATACAAACAGTTTTGAAAGTTGCTGAAAGTTATCAGTGATTGCTGTTCACATGATCTTTTTTTTTAAAAAATGCCATCGTAACTGCAACTCATCGGTCAGTTCATTTCAAGTGGTATTGAATAACAACTTATGTGTTGTGTGTGTGTGTGTCAAAATCAGTCCAATGTCACATGGCAGCAGTAATTACAGCTGATAAAACGGTCATTAAAACCATTTCCCTTCGTCGTATCACGTGATTCGACAGCTTTATAACACTTACTATGAAATCGTAAAATTACGAAATCATCCAACTCATTTTTAACAGGTTAGGGATATCAAGAGCACCAGTTTGTGCAGAATAACATGACACATCATCATATATTCCATTGCCACCTCACCACTTCACCTGCCTACAGCATAAAGAAATTATCAACTATATCTACTGAACAATTATTAACATACTCTCAAACACTACATGATGTCACTTGACAGAAGGCTCCAAACGTAATCAACAATGCTCAGGAAATTACCCTTATATAGTTTTTACCTAGAGAGTTCAAGTGTACACAAACTTAAGTGTTTACTTACAATGGAAAAGGGGTTGAGTAATAAATGCAAGAGGCAAGTGGGATGATGAGTAACCAATAAATTGAGTAGCAATGTACTGAGTTCAACTCAAATCATAGAGACAAGAGACAAGCGAACGTACACTATGTCAGAGAGAGAGAGATAGGATGAATCCAAAGATTACGTAGTCAAATGGAGGAGGGAATGAAGGCATTCAGTTAGCATGGCATGGCAAGGAAATACTGTTAACTGCTTCTTTCTGAACATATTCGTCAAAATAAAGTTCAAAATAGATAATGAGTGACACCCGTTGCACAAGAGTTGGTTCTCATGGCCCAGATTGTCTAGTGGATGACAGACACTTTGGTGTTTAAAACGATAGGTACTGGCTTCGAGCCTCAGCGGGAAAACCATCACTTACTGAGGAATTCGAGTACATGCGGGTGACCAGTCCCGAATAGGACGCGACGCGCATCCTGGATTCTACTGCTAGTCACTATACACCAAATTACTTCAAGTTAAATCCTCAGACATCGTCGATGCCTCCACACATGGAGCCGACAATATGAACAGAGGCTGAACATTTCTGTCCAATCACAATCAAAGGGAAAATCAGAAGTGAATTAAAAATAAATATGGTTTATATGGTCACATATAATTCGTTCTAAATATTATGATATGGTTGAATTAATATGTTGCGCAGTATTAGCAATAATTCAGATGACTGCTTGCAAGAAACACCATTAACACTGCTTACAACCTTCAGTGTTCTGCGTAACATGGCTTAGTTCCCTTTGAGAAGCGCAGGGAAGAATAAGGGGGAGGACAATAAAGCAGAGCGGGCAGAATACACAAATGAATAAATTGTAATAGAAGAGATTGGGTTGTGCTAGAAAGACGTATGCTCTCTATGTAATCAGTCAAACGAAAGATTTACTTTGAAATAAACAAGATGTGAGACGACCAATGAAGATTTGAGGAGAAACTGATGCCTAAATAGGTCATATTCGATTTACTTCCTATCACAGTGCCGTCAGTGTTACAAGAAACATGAGAATGAATGAAAGTGAAGCCTTAATTTATAACTCTAACAACGTGTCTTACCAACAAATCTGTGAGTTGTAACGTTCCCTTATTCTTTCTTATTGACTTTTCCAAGGCCATTTAGACGCTTGGTTTTTATTCTTTAAGGAATCTATAATTCAGATTATAAGTTTCCAGACCGTAGATGTTACGAACTTTCTGGGATAATTTGAGCGCCGTGTCAGATTGATGCATTATAAATTAACCCTAGCGTGTTTAAAAAAATATCAAAACAAGATTTTTCTGAACGTTTTGTTGTGTAAGCCACAGCTTCTTCAGCAGAATTATTCTTATTTTATTAATCATCAAAATATATAGTCAAAAATTTTTCTACATAAATTGAAGTTTATGTAAAATATTTTTTGACTATATATTTTGATGATTAATAAAATAAGAATAATTCTGCTGAAGAAGCTGTGGCTTACACAGCAAAACGTTCAGAAAAATCTTGTTTTGATATTTTCCTAAGCACGCTGCGATTAATCTAAGTAGTTTATAATGTTTAATTCAGCTGTACTATTTGAAATGGCGTGTTAATATGGTTAATATGACATCTTATAAAGCCTACAGGCAATAATAACAAGTAATACAGTTTCTCAGTCATCCTTCCAGCATAAGCTTAGACACACCCTACACGACCCATTTCGAAAGCATTCACTTATGCTAACAAGCTAAATGAATTACCGTGTAATTATGATCACAATTTCACAACAGTTAGGGGACTACTTAAATTGGATGGAGGAATTCATCATGAGCTGACATCAGTTAGAGAACCACTGGAAAACCTGGGACACAAAAGCACTTATGACATGTGAATTGTACATCGGTGGTGCAATGGTAGTATACTCTCCAGCCATGCGGAAAACCCGGATTCAATTGAGTCTGAACATATTCCACTCTATTTGTCCAGCCATGCATCTACCCTTTCTCTTCAAACTTCACAATATTACTATCAGATCTAAAATATCTGTAACGCTTCGATAATATACACCCCAGCCACATAACAACCTCTCCCTCTCTGAGACTGAGAAATGAAATTGATAATAACTAAAGAATTAGTTATGAAGGTAAATGTGAAGGTAAGTCACTAGTTCACTTTGATCACTATAACCGATCCTATGATAGATTTACAATTAAAAGCGTTCTCTGAGCTGGTTGGTTTAGTCGCGAAGCTTTCGTCATCCTTCCGGACAACATCTTCAGCGCCATATTTAGCACGAAGTGAAATGATTTAAATTTCATCATGCGTGATGTAATTGCGTCTCCTGGTTACTATCTTCACATATGTATTGACCACTTTCTATTGACTAGGATTTTAAACTTTTTGGTCACCTGATTTACTTTTTATTAATTGGTATATTTCATCTATATTAACGTGTTTGTTAATCGCATTTTCGCTTGAGTACCAGGCCTCTAGGAATTCTCTGGCACTTTTGTGTTTCCTCTGTTTAAGATTTTGACATGATCCCAATCAAACTGATGACCATAGTTGTCTGCATGCATTGATACTAAAGAATACATATCATGTCTTTTCACGGCTGATTTGTGTTCTTGGATTCTGATTCGAAGGGGACG